GCCGGTCAGCACTGGCCCGGCCCGAGGCCGCCTCACCCGCGGGCAGGGTCCGTCCTGGGGAGGCCTCCTGTCAGGCGCACAGGGGCTCCTGGCCCTTCTGCCTAGACCAGTGATGGCGAACCTATGACACGCGTGTCAAGAGACCGCGAACTCATTTTTTTGGTTGATTTTTCTTTGTTCAATGGCATTTAAATATATAAAATAAATACCAAAAATATAAGTCTTTGTTTTACTATGGTTGCAAATATCAAAAAATGTCTATATGTGACACGGCACCAGAGTTAAGTTAGGGTTTTTCAAAATGCTGGCATGCCGAGCTCAAAAGATTCGCCATCACTGGCCTAGAGGCTCTTCCCCAGGGAGAAGGGCCAGGCGGGGTCAGGCCCCAGGCCCCTGTGTCCATCACAGAGTGAGCAAGGCTGCTCCGGGCGGGTGGAAGGACCCCCTGCAAGGGGTCCCATGCCCCTATCCCCACTTCCCTCGCTGAGGGCAGTGTGACAGCACCCACCGCTCCCCTGCCCGCAGGAACCCCGACAAGGACGAGCGGCCCTGGTGCTACGTGGTGAAGGAGCACGCGCTCTCCTGGGAGTACTGCCGCCTGGCGGCCTGCGGTGCGTGCTGGCGGGAGGGGGAACAGGGCAGGCGGTGCTGCCCCATCCCATTCCCACTCCCGCTCCCACTCGCACTCCCACTCCCACTCCCACTCCCGGCCTCTTCTCTCCGAGCGGTGGAGAAACAGCTCCCGGGCAGGGCTGGTCCCAGGAGTCAGCAGGCAGGCCGGTCCCCGGGCCCCTGAACTTGCAGGCATGGGGGCGTCCAGCAGGGCGAACAGCATGGGGGAGTCCAGCAGGTGCCCTGGAGGCAGACGTTGGGGGGCAGCTCCCCTCTGGCCCTGCCCCTGCTGGCCTTGCCTCTGGGGTCCCTAACACCTGCCAGGTGTGCAGGCCACTCCGGTTCCCCCAAAGCCTGGGGTTGGGGTCACCTATGGATGAGGAAGCCGAGGACAGAGTGTGAGTCCTGTGCCCGAAGGCAGCGCCGGGCCAGCCCTGGGCCCTCGTCCAGAGGGG